GGGTCGGGGGGGGTGCCCGGCTCAGAGGTGCTGGGCTCAGAGCTGGGAGTCAGGGCAACGGGGGGTGCCCGGCTCAGAGGGGCTGGGCTCGGAGCTGGGGGTCTGGGCTGTGGGGGATGGGGTTGGGGGGGGTGCCCGGCTCCTGCCCTTTACCATGCCGCTTACCCACTCTCCCGGAGCCTCAGCGCGCCGTATCCAGCGCTGCAGCGGCGTGATGTTTCCAGCGGGGCCTGAGCTCCTGCGGCCGTAGCTCGCAGCCCCGCCCCCTTACCACCTGAGACGCTGGGGGATGGGGGAAGACGGAGGTGGGGGGAGCCTCCAACATACTCGTGGGGGCCCCTGTGGGGCCCAGGACCTGGGGCAAATTGCCCCACTTGCTCCCCCCTTTTGGCGGCCCTATTATTACATAAGAAATTTTTCCAGGTTCCAAGAGAATTTTTTTTTTTTAATTAATGAGTTGTGGGAGGAGGGATTTCTTTTCCCTTTCAGTTCTCAAGTGAAATCAGGTGAAAAGGTCCCGCAGGACAGAACAGTAAGTGCATATAAGTTACTAAGAGGCAATTGGGGAAATGTATGCATAAAATCTATTTGAATATTGTGAATTTGTGTGTCTGTTTCCTATAATAAGACTTCAAATTTGACCTGGTTACATAAGTAGATTAAGGTATAAACTTACCCAATATTGTACAGTTAATATATATTTGGCATTTGTACTTTGAAAATATCCATCTGCTGATTTCATTACAGCTGTCATACTGCAAAACAGAAAATACATTTAATTAAACTATTTGAATATTAAATATGGAATGTCCTTTAGATTTGAACTATCTTTAAATGGCTAATAAGGAAGAGAATATCCCGTAACTTTTTTTTAAACAAGAGAATTACCTGTTTACTGAGAAATTAAAAGAAATAAGTCACTTTGTATTTCTTTACTATTTTCGTTCAGCGGCCCACATTCTGTCCTGTATGTGTTCGCCCCTGTTGAGGTTTAAGGGTTTCTCAGGTGTAACTGAAGACAGAATTTGGCTGTTTCTAGGACCAGCAGATGGAGCCTAGAGTTGTGTCATGTTTGTTTGCTCTTCAGCAAAAAAGAAAGTAGATAACAAAATCAGGGTAATTTCAAGCTCCAATATACATACCGTACTTGTGGGAGAGGAATCAATGATTGCCAACTGCACTAGGTTTTATAAAGTGCTTTGTCAGTTTCTTTCCTGCTCTGACAGGACCAGAAGTGGGGGCATGTTCCAGCTGCTTCATTTACCTTGCCAGCTGTGCCCTGGCACTCTCCCTTTAACCTCTTCCCCCATATTCCATCTGAGCCTCTGTTGCTATCACCACAGGTGGGCATGAGCTGAAGGATTGAGTGTTTTTCAGAGGTTCAGTGGTGCCACAGGAAAATTGTCTTAGTCTGAAGAGCATCCGCGAAGAGCATCAGCATGGATTCACCAAGGGCAAGTCATGCCTGACTAACCTAATTGCCTTCTATGAGGAGATAACTGACTCTGTGGATGAGGGGAAAGCAGTGGATGTGTTATTCCTTGACTTTAGCAAAGCTTTTGATACAGTCTCCCACAGTATTCTTGCCAGCAAGTTAAAGAAGTATGGGCTGGATGAATGGACTATAAGGTGGATAGAAAACTGGCTAGATTGTCGGGCTCAACGGGTAGTGATCAACGGCTCCATGTCTAGTTGGCAGCCGGTTTCAAGTGGAGTGCCCAAGGGGTCGGTCCTGTGGCCGGTTTTGTTCAATATCTTCATTAATGATCTGGAGGATAGTGTGGATTTCACCCTCAGCAAGTTTGCAGATGACACTAAACTGGGAGGAGTGGTAGATTCGCTGGAGGGTAGGGATAGGATACAGAGGGACCTAGACAAATTAGAGGATTGGGCCAAAAGAAACCTGATGAGGTTCAACAAGGACAAGTGCAGAGTCCTGCACTTAGGATGGAAGAATCCCATGCACTGTTACAGACTAGGGACCGAATGGCTAGGAAGCAGTTCTGCAGAAAAGGACGTAGGGGTTACAGTGGACGAGAAGCTGGATATGAGTCAACAGTGTGACCTTGTTGCCAAGAAGGCTAACGGCATTTTGGGCTGTATAAGTAGGGGCATTGCCAGCAGATCGAGGGACGTGATCATTCCCCTCTATTCGACATTGGTGAGGCCTCATCTGGAGTACTGTGTCCAGTTTTTGGCCCCACACTACAAGAAGGATGTGGAAAAATTGGAAAGAATCCAGCGGAGGGCAACAAAAATGATTAGGGGTCTGGAGCACATGACTTATGAGGAGAGGCTGAGGGAACTGGGATTGTTTAGTCTGCAGAAGAGAAGAATGAGGGGGGATTTGATAGCTGCTTTCAACTACCTGAAAGGGGGTTCCAAAGAGGATGGATCTAGACGGTTCTCAATGGTACCAGATGACGGAACAAGGAGTAATGGTCTCAAGTTGCAGTGGGGGAGGTTTAGGTTGGATATTAGGAAAAACTTTTTCACTAGGAGGCTGGTGAAGCACTGGAATGGGCTACCTAGGGAGGTGGTGGAATCGCCTTCCTTAGAGGTTTTTAAGGTCAGACTTGATAAAGCCCTGGCTGGGATGATTTAGGTGGGATTGGTCCTGCTTTGAGCAGGGGGTTGGACTAAATGACCTTCTGAGGTCCCTTCCAACCCTGATATTCTATGATTCTGTGAATTGTAATCAAGTGGAGGTTTGTTGCAGCACAAGATTTATAATGTGTTATAATGATGGAAAAATTTCAGCTCTTGCATCTTTGTTATAAATTATTTTTCTTGTTTCTGTTACCATATTGGCTATGACCCCCCAGGCTCTGTACAAACAGAACAAAAAGAGAGTCCCTGCCTGAAAGGGCTTACAAGCCAAGTCTAAGTGTAAGACAAGACAACAGATGGATATAGCTAGACAAGGGAATACAAAAAATCATTGAGATAGTGTTGGACAACATGTTAGGCAAAAGTCTGTACAACAGCAGTCTCGTGGTTACTAAGCTTTTTGTAGACATCATGGGAAAGAAGAGTTTTGAAGGAGGAGGAGGATAATTTTGTGGCTGTTTATGGAAAACTCTTCGTAAGCATGAAGGGCAGTTTGGGAGAAAACACAAAGTAGGGTTTATCTTAAATATCTCTGTTCGAGAAATGCAGAGGAACATTTTGATAAGTAGATGGTCTGATTGGAAAAAAATACTTTCATTGTAATTGACGAGTAGTGAGGATCTCTCATGTTAACCAAGTGATAGTTTATTAGGTAATCTTATGATTGCATTTTTATAATTTTCCTTAATTTTCAACACTGTGAGCTTTGAAGTGTTTAGGAGGTTGTTTCTGTTGTATAGTAGCACAATGAAAGGATAAAGATGAAGAACTTCAAATAGGGTTTTAAAAAAATAATTTATCTGAACCTCCTGTGCATCAGTTCCACTGGAATTTCCTGCTACTGTAGCCATGGTACTGCAGCATAATAAATGCTATAGCAACAATTTCAGGGAACCAAAAAAGAGTAGGGGAATATTTTAGGTAGTAATGAACTGAATTCATGTTTTAGTTCCAGCAGATGGGGAATTTTGAAATGTTATTTTCAGTTCACTTTTACATTTAAGTATCACTTAATTCTTTCTTGGCTGGGGAGAGGTGGTGAATAAATGGTCTACCTAATAGATCTTTCCATCTCTAATGTGGTTAAACACCTCATTGCTGAATGATATATTGAATGGTAAATATTTTATTACTCTAAAAAAAAATACCACATTCTCTGGGTTGAAATTAGTGACTTTGTCTCACTCCCAC